TATATATATATATGCAAATACCACAAACCATATTGATTACGGAGGCCAGGTGACTGTGGAGGCCAGGTCATCTGGCGCAGCACCCCATCACTCTCCTTCTTGGTCAAATAGACCTTACAGCTTGTTTGGGGTCATTGACCTGTTGAAAAATAAATGATGTCCAACTAAACGCAAACTGGATGGAATAGCATGCCGCTGCAAGATGCTGTGGTGGCCATGATGGTACAGTATGCCTTCAATTTTGAATAAATCCCCAACATGTAACTAGCAAAGCACCCCCACACCATCACACCTCCTCCTCAATGCTTCACGGTGGGAACCAGGCATGTAGAGTCCATCCATTCACCTTTGCTGCGTCACACAAAGACGGTGGTTGGAACCAAAGATCTCAAATTTGGACTTATCAGACCAAAGCACAGATTTCCACTGGTCTAATGTCCATTCCTTGTGTTCTTTAGCGCAAACAAGTCTCTTCTGCTTGTTGCCTGTCCTTAGCAGTGGCTTCCTAGCAGCTATTTTACCATGAAGGCCTGATTCACACAGTCTACTTTTAAAAGAGATTTGTCTGCTGCTAGAACTCTGTGTGGCATTAACCTGTTCTCTAATCTAAGCTGCTGTCAACCTGCCATTTTTGAGGCTGGTAACTCAGAAGAACTTATTGTCCGCAACAGAGGTGACTCTTGGTCTTCCTTTCCTGGGGRGGTCCTCATGTGAGCCACTTCACAAAAACTTGATGGTTTTTGCGACTGCACTTGGGGACACTTTCAAAGTTTTCCCAATTTTTTGGCTGAGCTTCATTTCTTAAAGTAATGATGGCCACTCGTTTTTCTTTATTTAGCTGTTTTTTATTGCCATAATACAAATTCTAACAGTCTATTCAGTAGGACAGCTGATAAGGTATACACTACACAGCTGATAAGCTGTATACTGTATCCACCATCTGCACAACACAACTGATGGTCCCAACCCCATTTATAAGGCAAGAAATCCTACGTATTAAACCTGACAGGTCACACATGTGAAGTGAAAACCATTTAAGGTGACCATGACATGTGACAGTTAAT